TTTTCTCATCTCATGCAAAGGTCCTTGACCTTTCGAATTTAGGGAGCTCTCTTTAGCCTCCCAGGGCCTTAACCCAAACCAGGTCCTCGACCTGTGCCTTTAAAATTTAGGGAGCTCTCTTTAGCCTCCCCTTCCCTTAACACAAAAATCAGGTCCTTGACCTTAAAATCCAGGGAGCTCTCTTTAGCCTCCCCTTCCCTTAACATAAAACCAGGTCCTTGACCTGTGGACTTTTAGGGTTCCCACACCTATGGATCCAGCCAAGCATTATATAACCTCGTTATATATTCTATTCACTCGTCAGCAAATAGTGTGGTCAGCCACGACCTGGAAATGGAATTTAGGGCTCCTCTAATAGCCCTGGGCCTCCAACCCTTCTTCTGTACTATTTCCTTATCTCATTTATCATTAAACCATTAGAAAATCCTCATTTCATTTCACCATTAAACCATTACAAAAAAAATCTCTTATTCTTTCTGCACTTGTCTCCACTTTCTTCTCCAACTATTATTTTAGGACCACAGCTACTATGATTCTGGACACAAAGGCTTTGGATAAATCCAATGAGCAGATTTTAGATAATAGGCTCTGCTCACCTTGTTTTCCACCGCGGTGTTCTGTGCCAAGATCGTTCGCTGGGTCAGTAGGTCGAATCATCCTCCAAAAACTCCTTTTTCTTCAAAAAGAAAAAATCCTGTTCGTGACGCCAAATTTGTTGGTCTCTCTTCCGTTAGACCAAGCACGGGTACGGAGTAGATGGAGTTAAACACCTTTAAAGTTGTCAGAACGAGGAGACAAATGATCAGAAGTCCATTCACTGTTTCGCCGCTCATGAGGGGGAGAGTCTCTGCAGCAAGTCCCGCGACCTGCTCTTGCCAGATGCTTCGGACAGACTCTCGCCGTTCTGCTGAAACGGCTGATTTTTATTGAAGAGTACAGGAATGTAACATACGCAGTTTGCCATGTACATACGTCAATGATCATGACAGGTGAAAATAACAGCCTTGTTAGCGGACAGTTTAATACATCACTAGAACACATCCTTGAGATTACCAGGAACATCCTGATATATTCATGACAGGAGAAGATACATTCACTGGTACCGAGAGGCACTGAGTGGAGATGGAATGTGCACACTCCCTTCTCTTGTGCAGGAGAAGATACACAGCTATTAATCTTTGTGTGAAGGCCTTGAGTATCTGAGCGAGTTTCCATAGCATAGATAATAAAATGAGCTTATAAGGTAAATATATATATATATATTGCCTTGTTAGGCAGGATCTAACATGTCACAAGAACTTGTAATTCTTAAGATAAGCAGAAATATCCTTGGTAACCTGGTACAAGAAGAGACTGCAATGTCTCACTCCCTTTTGGAGTTCCTGCAGCTGTTTTAAGAGCTTGTGCAGGAGAGAAACACAGAGAGACCTTTATATTATAACATGATCCCATAATGAAAAGAGTAGCATGTAAGAATGAATAATAAAAGAGCTTATAATAATATATGAAAGAGCTTATATGAGAGATATATATTTTCAACCTGTAAGTTAAAAGTTAACTTCTGGTCAGGTTTGATGAACAACTCTACCTTTTGGTACGCTACAATAAGTCTATTTTATAACTCCTAATACTGGAATGGCATATGTCCCATTCACACACTGTTAGTTAGAAGTGCACTTGCTAGGCCTTAGTCAAAAAAATGTTATTTGACAAAGCCTTCATAGCACATTGCCTTGTGAAGAAAAATGAGAGAATAAACATTTGGGACCTCATCACCCTGTGGATTTTAACATCGTTCATAAACTTTGAAAGGTTTTTAAAAACTTAAAGGGGATTATTTGGAATATTATACAGTTATTGAAAAGTTTGCAAAGATGAAAATCTGGATTTTTTTTGTTAAAAGAAACGTGGTGAGTGGCTTTATTTGTAATTTTATGTATATAAAAGGTTTCATTATTCAGTTACATTAATATAAATGTAGAGTACATATGTGCTATTTTAAATGAAATGAGTCACATAAAATAGAAGTATTATTATTTAGACTGTATGCATCACAAAATAATTGGTAGGTAATAATAATGGATTGGATTTATACAGGCCTGTCTCAAAAAATTAGCATATTGTGATGAAGTTCATTATCTTCTGTAATGTACTGATAAACATTAGACTTTCATATATATTAGATTCATTACACACAACTGAAGTAGTTCAAGCCTTTTATTGTTTCTAATGTTGATGATTTTGGCGTACAGCTCATGAAAACCCAAAATTCCTATCTCAAAAAATTTGCATATCATGAAAAGGTTCTCTAAACGAGCTATTAACCTAATCATCTGAATCAACTAATAACACCTGCAAAAGATTCCTGAGGCTTTTAAAAACTCCCAGCCTTGTTCATTACTCAGAACTGCAATCATGGGTAAGACTGCCGACCTGACTGCTGTCCAGAAGGCCATCATTGACACCCTCAAGCAAGAGGGTAAGACACAGAAAGACATTTCTGAACGAATAGGCTGTTCCCAGAGTGCTGTATCCAGGCACCTCAGTGGGAAGTCTGTGGGAAGGAACAAGTGTGACAGAGAATGCTGCACAACCAGAAGAGGTGACCGGACCCTGAGGAAGATTGTGGCGTACAGCTCATGAAAACCCAAAACTCCTGTCTCTAAAAATTAGCATGTTTAATCCGACCAATAAAAGAAAAGTGTTTTTAAAACAAAAAAAGTCAACCTTCAGATAATTATGTTCAGTTATGCACTCAATCCTTGGTCGGGAATCCTTTTGCAGAAATGACTGCTTCAATGCGGCGTGGCATGGAGGCAATCAGCCTGTGGCACTGCTGAGGTGTTCTGGAGGCCCAGGATGCTTCGATAGCGGCCTTAAGCTCATCCAGAGTGTTGGGTCTGGCGTCTCTCAGCTTTCTCTTCACAATATCCCACAGGTTCTCTACGGGGTTCAGGTCAGGAGAGTTGGCAGGCCAGTTGAGCACAGTAATACCATGGTCAGTAAACCATTTACCAGTGGTTTTGGCACTGTGAGCAGGTGCCAGGTCGTGCTGAAAAATGAAATCTTCATCTCCATAAAGCTTTTCAGCAGATGGAAGCATGAAGTGCTCCAACATCTCCTAATAGCTAGCTGCATTGACCCTGCCCTTGATAAAACACAGTGGACCACCACCAGCAGCTGACATGGCGCCCCAGACCATCACTGACTGTGGGTACTTGACACTGGACTTCAGGCATGTTGGCATTTCCCTCTGCCCAGTCTTCCTCCAGACTCTGGCACCTTGATTTCTGAATGACGTGCAAAATTTGCCTTCATCTGAAAAAAGTACTTTGGACCACTGAGCAACAGTCCAGTGCTGCTTCTCTGTAGTCCAGGTCAGGCGCTTCTGCCGCTGTTTCTGGTTCAAAAGTGGCTTGACCCGGGGAATGCGGCACCTGTAGCCCATTTCCTGCACACGCCTGTACACGCTGGCTCTGGATGTTTCTACTCCAGACTCAGTCCACTGCTTCCGCAGGTCCCCCAAGGTCTGGAATCGGTTCTTCTACACAATCTTCCTCAGGGTCCGGTCACCTCTTCTCGTTGTGCAGCGTTTTCTGCCACACTTGTTCCTTCCCACAGACTTCCCACTGAGGTGCCTGGATACAGCACTCTGGGAACAGCCGATTCGTTCAGAAATGTCTTTCTGTGTCTTACCCTCTTGCTTGAGGGTGTCAATGATGGCCTTCTGGACAGCAGTCAGGTCGGCAGTCTTACCCATGATTGTGGTTCTGAGTAATGAACCAGGCTGGGAGTTTTTAAAAGCCTCAGGAATCTTTTGCAGGTGTTTAGAGTTAATTACTTGCTTCAGGTGATTCAGCTAATAGCTCGTTTAGAGAACCTTTTCATGATATGCTAATTTTTTGAGATAGGAATTTTGGGTTTTCATGAGCTGTACGCCAAAATCATCAATATTGGAAACAATAAAAGGCTTGAACTACTTCAGTTGTGTGTAATGAATCTAATATATATGAAAGTCTCATGTTTATCAGTACATTACAGACAATAATGAACTTTATCACAATATGCAATTTTTTTATAAAGACCTGTATAACGCTGTTCTCATCACCCAAAGCACTTTCCATTATTCACGCAGTCTCACATTCACACACTGTTGGTGATGGTAAGCTACTATGTAGCCACAGCTGCCTGAGAAAAACAAGTCAAAGACACACGAGCCGCAGAACAAGAAGCCGAAAGTACAATAAAGAAATGGGAAGGAACATGGATCATAAACACAGAACACCAAATGTACAAAAGATAGATTAAGTCAAAAAGAAATAAGCTGACGTGGACACATAACCACTAATGGCGCTGACCCATTAGCGTCGGCACGGTCGGGGTTTGGTCGGGTTGGACGGCGTGAGTTTGCGTTGGAACGGGCGGTGTAGTGTTCGCATATAAATCTGAGGGACCTCTCAGGAATGCGGAAATCCTTGAGCCTGTGGGCGGAGTTTAATACGCGCGGGAAGGTCCGCAGTGTCCTCCATTATAATATAAACAAAGGCGGACATGAGCTTTACTGCTTTTGGACACTCTGAACCACATTATTTTATTATTTTGTTGTGTGTGTCCTCGTAATCTTGTGCCACACACACACACACACACGCACGCACGCACGCACGCAGGGAAGAAAGTCGGAAAAAGGGTCACCTCAGCACTGAAAACTCTAATCTGACCTGTGTGTTGGCAAAAAAGAAGGTAAAATAAGACTTTTGTGTGTGTAAAAAGAAATGTAATGCTGCTGCTTCTTCTGTAGTTCCACCACATCTGGGTAGTGTGCAACATGCTGTAAACCATGACGGTTTCACAGATACAGATGAGCATGTTGACCTGCGCGTATTGCAGTCAACACTGTTAGTGAATGTCTTTGGCATCTGACAGGTTAACAGGAATTGGATGTTTAAGCTCTGATGTCAGATTTCTTTCTTTCTCCCTCCCTCCCTCCCTCCCTCCCTCAGGTGTTTGCAGAGGGCTGCTCTGATCCATGTCTCCTAGACCTCCAGAACCATATTCCAAAATACTATGGTACCTGGTCTTCTCTTGACAGCCCCAGTGGTAAGGGTTTTAAACCATCCCAGGCTTGTGTGTGTGTACTTGTTTAACTATCCTACTTAGGACCAAAACTGGCATGTTCACTAATCTTCTGAAATCCAGTGAGCCATATTAGGACCAAAACCCGGTCGTAATATGGCGGACCCCTGTTTTAGGCTTTTGGGTGAGGTTTGGAGGTAAGATGTTTGAGTTTTTGTTACAGTTTAGGTTTAGGAATACACTGGCTAGGGCTAGGGTTAGGGTTAGGGTAAGGGTAAGGGTTAGGGCATGAATGAAGTTATATGAATGGAAGTCGATATAAAGTCCTAATAGTGATTGGGACAGCAGTTAGTGACTAAAATGTTTGTGTCTGTTATGAAATGTCCTGAGCGGCTTGTGTGGACCCATGTAAAGGACTGGCTGATAGAACGGTGGACCAGCAACTCGGCACACACAGGAATAACTGGTTTGGTGTCAGCTGTCACTCACGTGGAGCCCTAGGACAAACGTGTCATACTGACCCACTTACATCAAGGGTCTCCAGCCCTGGTCCATTCATCAGCATGTTTAAAAGGTTCCAGATCATTCTATTTTCAACCTTTGGGAGCAAAAGTAGGCACAGTATACGATAAAATACTACCATTGGCACTATTGAGATGGCATTTGTTTTAATTACGAGTTATTGTCATCAGCCTGAATCACCGGAAAATAAACGGTTCCTTTCGGGGAAGCTTCGTCCACGCCCACTCCATCTAAACGCTCATAAGCCAGCCTGCTGGTGTACTGGCCTTGGTGGTCCAGTGGTTAAAGTGACTGCCTTGGCACTCTAACCACTGGACTACCAAGCAATAGATGCCTAAGATGCCTAAGTCCTGTACTGACCAGGGGAGGCAGGTTTCAGATCAGTGATCAGCTTCTGGGAGAGAAGCAGGGCTTGGTGACTCAATTGGTTTCCCTTGACACTTTACAGGATTTTCAAAGTAAAACTCAAAATGTGCAGCTGAAATAAGAATGCAGCCAAGAAAGTGTTTGTTTTTTTCCACAAGGAAATAACAATATCACATGGTGAAAATCGCCAAAAAGTGGATTTTTCATTTTCCATGTGTCCAACACATCAATCAGCAAGGGCCTCGTTTATAAAACTTCCTTAGGCACAAACACAACATTTGTGATTTATAAAGAAAAACTTTATGAAAAAAATGTGTTGACTTTAGGCAAACTCTGGCCCTGGTCTAAGTACATTTTGGAGTCAGGAAACTGGAAGCACAGCCAGTGAGATGGTGGCATGATGAATTCTTGACTTGCTGGACGCCCGACATTCCCTAAAGAAATTCACACGTACAGAGACAAATGTTCTCCGTGGCACAAACGTGCAAAGCTAAATCGGCGAGTTCATGATCTGTTTATTCTCTGATTCTGACTAGATTTCAGCTGTAAACCGTAAACGCGGCAGCGACGGAAAACGGAAATTAGTCAGTCATAGATCTGAAATGGAGTTATGAGCGCTCACTCTGCTTCACAGACAGAATAACAAAGACTGTTTTTAACAGTGATGTCTCACTTTGATCAGTTTTCAAAACCTAAAAACATTTATCTTTTTATTATTATTTCGTTTGTACTATTTATTAATTAAACTTATTCCCATCATGAACTTAACAATTTTATGTGGCCTAAAGGCATGACAGAGCATTAGTCAGGATTATTTGAAGGAGAATGTCATTCAGCGGCTGTTGGAGACTCATTTAAACATGACTTCTTTATTACTAACTTCAACTGAAGTAGTTTTCTTTTTGCTCTGATGAAGTTTAAAGCTTAAGCATTCATGATAGGAGATGTGTGATGTTAGCAACCTAAAAGATGTTAGCAATGGGGGGGTCCTGCAGACGCTTTTTTCCTCCTCTCCTCCATATCTTATCCTCAACGCCTGTGTGCCTGTGTGTGTGTGTGTGTGTGTGTGTGTTTGTGTGTGGGGGGGGGGGGGGGTGCGGTGCGTGCACGGCTGCTTCTGCATTTTTCTGGAAACTGGGAACTGAAATTTACTAAAATGGACCTCGTCAGCTGGTCTCTCAACGCGATTGATAAAATTTTTTCAACGATGAGAACGGGAGAAGGGGCTCCCGGATGCCCCGCTGCGACAGACCCAGTTGGACACATCATGGACTCCTGGAAACAGTGGAACTTGATTTGTTTATCTCAGCTGTCTGTGGAGGACTCTGAAGACGTGTGGATATTCGTGGTGTTGGTGTCGGGTTTCCTGCTCATTGGCCTTGGAGGCTTCCTGGCTTACCGGAAAATTAACGAGCTGTCGAGGAATATTGGCCTGATCCCGGAGCTCAGAGATGGATTGCACCGCGCTGTGAATTCACAGACTCAAATAATTGTCGAGATGAATCGTAAGCTTGGGACTTTGGCGGAGATTCATTCTTTGGCACAAAAGATGGATGCCATCAAGGAGAGAGTGGACGAATCAGCACGGATTGGGATAGATTAACGTCCATTATTGGGATTTTGAGAGGTTGAGGACCAACCAACTGTAAGACAGAGAGGAAATTATCTCTGTGTGGCCCCAAAACAATTTCTAATCGGAATCTGGTGTCCTTGAGCCTGCAAGGCTCCAACGAAAACTCCCCCCTCAGAAGATATGTGGAATGTGCCGTCGCTATGGCAACTCAACTCTGTCTCCTATCCCAGCCTGGGCGGGACTGCGGGAAGGCTGCTGAAACGTTCCAACCCTCCAACCCTCAATGCTCCTCCCCCTATCCACACTGAGGTGACATGTGCTGCTTCTGTTGTGGCTGCAGGAACTGAAGTAGGGATAGTCCCAACCCACCACCCCACCTAGTGGACACTTATGTTGTGTTGCCTGAAGTCTGTTGCATATCTGTCTGAGGTGTTTTTTGAAGAGCAAAGCTGCCCTCCTGGTGGAGGGTAACTCTGAAGTGCCTTTTTTCCTCCACCTGAACCAATCCTCATGTAAACCCATCTTATCTCTATTAAGGTAGCGCGACTCAGGGTTGCGAATGACCACAGTCACCAATTCTTGTCATGTGTCTTGCCCATGTATGTCTGATCTCTGAATTGTGTGTACTGAAACTCTAATTTCCCTCTGGGATTAATAATGTATCTTTGATTTGATTGATATCGGTATCGGTTTATATCGGTATCGGAAATTAAGAGTAAGACAATATCGGATTTAGCATCCCTAAATGGCAGTAAAGGAGTGAAGATACCACACTATGTTCATACGGACAGCTTCTGATTACATACTGGTGCATTAATTATCTGATGGGCATCTGTGTTAATTCAGTTCACCGGTGAAGGCTCTCAGTCATCCAGGTAACGTTAATCCAAAAGAGCTCAGAGGAAGGCAACTGGAATTGTTTGGTTTCTTGAAGATGTTTTGCTTCTGGCCTTGCTAACTGGAAAATGGGAGAGTCAAACTTAAACTGTAGCTGTAAAGGGGCCACCAGGGTTGGAGACCCCTCATCTAGTTTCTGTCTCTGCCTTCCTTAGTGGCACATTCACATCTGGGTCGGCACGGTCTACCCCCTGGTAGGGTAAGTGTGTTCACATCTGGGTAATGGGTGCGGTTTCCATGCTCAGCCCAACGTTTTTTTCAGACCTGCTTCCCGGCGCTGGGCAAATCCAACACACCCACCGCCAACTGATTGGCCAGCTGAAGTTCACATCTACCTATTAGAGGGGGCCTCTGAAGGTTCAGTCGAGTGTCTGCGGAGAGCGGATTCACCCAGAACAGCATTTAAACAGCCTTGAGTGTGTCTGAGTCTAAAGTCCAGAATCCTAATGACTATAGCCTCTTTAGCAAGCCCCCTAGGGACATTTGATTATGCACCAGCAAGTGACTAGTTCAGGATTACACAGAGCAGAAGCGGTTAAAGTCCCACTAGTTGTCACACACACTGGTGTGTGAAATTTCTTCGCTGGGGGGAGTGGTGAGCTGCAGACACTGCTGCTCTCGGGAACCATTTGGTGGAAGGAATGTGCGTTTTGGGCCACAGCTGGTACAACATTCCTATGGATGTGCATCCCACAAATCTCCCATCAGCTGCAAGATGCTGTCCTGTCAGTGTGGGCCAACATTTCTGAAGAACGCCTTCAGCACCTTGTTGAATCAACACCACGTAGAATTAAGGCAGTTCTGAAGGTGAAAGGGGGTCAAACACCCTATTATGGGCCATTCCCATCTGTACCGGGTCGGCCCGGGCCGGGTAGCGTAGGTTGTTTACATATCTGGGTGGCCTGGTATTTTTCCGGGCCACCCAAGGCTCATTCTCAGCCCTCTTCTCGAGGGGGTCTGCTTCAGGCCGACCAGGGCCAACACACCCACTGCTGACAGCAAATTCACACCTTCCATTAGAGCAAGCCTCTGATTGGTGGGTAGAATCAGCCCACATGGGCTTAAGGCAAGGATGTGTGGAATCAACCGGGCCAGGCTGGGGCCGACTGAGGCTACCTGGCTCGGGCCGACCCGGTACAGATGGGAATGGCCCATTAGTGTGGTGTTCCTCATAATCCTTTAGGTGAGTGTACATCAATCTGCAAATTTAAACAAAAATAAATAACTAAATATCTCTTTCAGCAAACATTTGTCCATTAAAAATAACCTTGTTTGTACTTCTGTGTTTGCTGAGTCACATGCACGACCGTATCGCCCATTGACATTTATGGTACTAACGAATGGTGGTTAGAAAAATTATACACATTGCCCAACCCTAGAGGACACCATGGACGTCTTTCTTACGTCTTTTGTCCCACCCACATGCTCAGAAAATCTGCGCTCCTGAGAAGTCCGTGTGAACGACACACGACCACTTGGGGACCGGCTGAGCCACCGGGCAAACCCAGATGTGACCGCTCCATGTGGCGCTCACGCATTAGTGTCGGGGCTGGAATTCTGTTTCGCACACGAGTCAGATTTGCGTTTTCGTTTCTGAGGTGACGCTATGGACTGAATGTCCGGCTAAAATTACGCCTACCGCCCCCGTTCCCGCATGTGCGATTCATCTTCACTGGAGACTGTTAGGTAACTTTATCTGTAGCACAGAGCTGCTGCTGTGTGTGGGTGTGCGTGTGCGTGTCAGGCACAAGATTATGAGGACACACAGCAAATCTGGTTCGGAGTCACCAAAAGCCAAGGGCGTCAGTTTGTTTTCAGAATTGCTGGGGACAATAACCATACACTTGAGTGGGGTTTAAAAATTGCTGGGGACAATAAAGTAGGCTAGCACAGGGGTCGGCGGCTCTGGAGCCGCATGCGGCTCTTCCATCCATCGGATGCGGCTCTCTGTGTTTGTAAAATAATGAATGGATATTTAAATAAAATGCTTTATATTTTACTGCATTAATTTTACATCTGTATGCCAATTCTATGTAAAGACTGTCTGCGTAAACCTGAACAGGTCCAACCCGGTCTTACTGTTAGACCGGGTTGACGGGTCACGTTTGTGTGTAATCATAGGCGCTTCCTGAGCTGAAGAGGATGTGAGATTCTGGGATTCTCCTCAGACGGCTCCTGGATGTGTCGCCACATTGGAGCCAGGAACAAGCGCTATTCAGCCAAACTTTCATAATCAGGGAACATTTTCTAAGTGACAAGTCTCTCTGAGAGACAGGGTTTGGAAAACTCTCGCTTCAGTGGGAGGAATCTTCCCGCATGCACTCTGCGTGGCTCTGGGGTTAATCAAGTTTAATTGTTTCTCTTTGCAACAATCTTCACAAGAAGGCAAAACAGTTAAACGGCAGGTTACATATATTTCCATTTGACTGTTTATTTTGACAGATGAACTCAAGGATGTTGCTTGGTTTGAAAGAATTACCCCGACGCGCACTGATGCGCATGGATGAGCTGACATTTTAATCGTTAACGCACATCGCGGAGGTAAAAGATTCCCATCAGAACATCAGAGCTTTATACTGGACACTGTGTTCAGCGCGGCTCGGAGCGCCCACGATGGACAGTGAGCTGAAGATCTGCAGAGGGGTTCGCGGCGCAGCGCAGAACCACGGCGCATGCAATAAGATTTCCTCCCACTGAAACAGTCTGGAAACCCGGTCTCTCTGAGGGATGTGTCACTTGGAAAAATGTTCTTTTTATGAAATTATGAAACTGGCTGAACAGCGCTTGTTCCCGTCTCTAATATGGACACGCATGACGCGTAGAGACATTTGATCACGCACAAAGTTTATATGGAGCAGAAGCGGTCGGGCCACGGTAGGTGAAATGTTCCTAGCCTACATGAAGTGGAACATTAATATGTTACTGGACACGCTGGTCTGGTTGGTTAGACCAGTGTTTGAAGTGGAAAACACACACACACACACACACACACACCAATTAAAATAATGCTGATAGCGTGGACTAGAAGACAGGTGATGGGTTACGTATTTAAATGATGATCAGGCTGCTGTAAAATGTAATCTCCATCCACATCCAGACACAATTATCCTCTATTCTGTCTCTAGTTGCTCTGCTCTTGCCTGGGCTGATGTAGCTGATGGAGCGCGCGGCGCACCTAACTAGCGGCTGACGCACATTTTACGCATGTGGAGAGGTGGGCTGGATGCTTTGCGTTTACTGGAAGATGGTCCACTTAACGCACAGTTGTAGACTACATATTAATGACAAATGAATGAAAATTAAATTGGGAGTTTTTACTTCATATTTTATAAATAAAAAGGACGGGGGAACACATTTATGACGTCTTTTTAAACTAAATTTTCTAGCGCGACCTGCCTGCTTCACTAAGTCACTGCTTATTAAGGTCCGTCCAAAATTACCGTGGGAAATGGGTAATAATGGCTCTTTGATGGGAACAGGTTGCCGACCCCTGGATAAGACCTGAGCTGGTAAAACAAAAATCCTCATCAGCAGGCTTTTTTGAAAGTGGGGGGGACACAGCTGCCAATCACAAATTTTGCCGGGGACATGTCCCCGGCGTCCCCGGTTAAAATGACGCCTATGCCAAAAGCAACACAGCTCATGCCCTCCTTTGTTTAGGATGCCGCAGACTTTCCCTGAGCGTGTTTTTGCGGTCCAAAGGCTCGAGGATTTCCACATTCCTGACACGTCCCCCAGATTTCTATGTGAACACTACACCGCCCGTTCGAGACCGAACTCGCACCATTCAGCCCGACCAAGCTCGGCCATGCCGTCGCTAACGTGTAAGCTCCTGTAGGTTAGTGTAAAGCTGATCATCAGACGGCTTCTTCTGGAGCTGAACCAGCTCCTCGTGCGGCCCTCTGCTGTAGATCATATTCTGATACGTGTGTTCAGTTTTTATAAAGGAGGCTCTTTTGATGGCTCATCTTCTCATCTTACCTGAACACTAAGTTCCTCTTTGTGGTTTATCTCAGAACGTTTTCTCAGCACAACTCTGCATTCTCCTGGTTTAGATGTGTACCTGAAGCTGGAGGACGTGACGAGTCGCTTCGTCAGGCCTTGCATCATGGATGTGAAGCTGGGCCAGCGGAGCTACGATCCGTTCGCCTCACAGGAGAAACGAGAACAGCAGATCAGAAAATACCCACTGATGGAGGAAATGGGCTTTCTGATCCTCGGCATGAGAGTAAGTCTGCTAGTCCAGCTGCACCACAGGTCTTCTGTTTGTCCGAGGCTGTCTGTCTGCTATATCAATAACGATTAGATTTGTAAAGCTTTTTTAAGGCGCCAAAAGCACTTTACATTATTCACACACTCACGCATTCCCTCTCTCTGTTTGTGATGGTGACCTACATTGAAGCCACAGCTGCTCTGGGGCAGGCTAACCGAGGCCAGGCTGCCGTTTGGCACCATCAGCCCCTCTGACCACCAGCATCTCAGCCAAGTCACCATAAATGTCTTTCCCAAGGACACGCAACAGCAGAATGTCCTGCAGGGATCCGTTCTGTACATCCTCGGATAACTCCATAACCCAGTCAAGCCCCCGAGCCACTGCTAATAACAGTGTGTGTGTGTGTGTGTGTGTGTGTGTGTGTGTGTGTGTGTGTGTGTGTGTGTGTGTGTGTGTGTGTGTGTGTGTGTGTGTGTGTTTTAACTCACAGCTGTTGTCAGTAAAGCCCAAACAGCTGACAGGAAACATTTAAATAGCTTTTTCAGAGATGAAGTAAATTAGCTAAAGTGCTATCCCTCCACCAGTCTCCGACACATCGGAGGATGGTGCTGATCTGATCTGACGTGATTCCCAGAGCGGTCCCTGATGGTTCTGTCTGAACCAGTCACTGATCCCAAACTGCTGCTAAAATCAGTGTTTTCTACTTCTGTCACATTTAAACTAAACTGATCTCTGTGATGTTTCAGGTGTACAATGTTCATAGTGACACGTTTGAGTCCATTGACCAGCACTATGGGAGGAGCCTGGTGAAGGACACCATTAAAGATGGTACGTCTGTCTCTTCTGCTTGTAGAATAAAATAATTTAATCTCCACCCATGCATGCATGCATGCACAGGGGGAACATGCAGACTCTTTGCAGAAAGACCCCAGGCCAGGATGTGAACCCACTGCTCCACCGTGCAGCCCTAATTTAATCTCCTCTACGCTTCAATTCAATTCAAGTTTATTTATAAATCGTCAAATCTCGACAAGAGTCGTCTCAAGGCACTTCACACAGTAAACACTCCAGTACAGGTCAGGTCTTTAAGCCAATCAGTAAAAAGTTTCCTACATAAGGAACCCAGCAGGTCGCATCGAGTCACTGACTAGTGTGCGAGTCTTTACAGCAATCCTCATACTAAGCAAGCATGCAGCGACAGTGGAGAGGAAAACTCCCTTTTAACAGGAAGAAACCTCCAGAGAATCCTGGCTCAGTATAAGCAGCCATCCACCATGACACACACACACACACACGCGCACGCACGCACACGGAATTAATCCCAGGATTACATTTTTGGTTCTTTTTTAAAACACGGGAAAGGTTTGTCTTTACCTTGCTGACAGTTTCGTTCGCGGCTGCAAACTTCCTCGGAGCTGGCGCTGGTGGTGGCGTCACTTCCTACTCCGTTTATCCAAGGCAAGGTAAAGAGAAACCTTTTCTGCGTTTTAGAGAAGAATCAGAAATCAGACACAGCAAGAACGTACCAAAGATAATCCCCGGATGTTGAGTTTGATTGAAACTGTGGATCAATTTTCATTTTCAACTGAAAAACCCAAATTGAAAAACAAAAGTTACAATAAAACAAATAGAATCTTGTATTTCCCATTTTCTATTTTAAGTCCTCGATCAAAAATTAAAAAATGGAAAAACTGATTTTAGTATTAATCGGGTTGAGTTTACACCCAAAAAGTCTTCTTTTTTATATATTTTCAATTTAAGTCTATCAAAAGTAAGAAATGGGAAAAATGGCTGCTGGACAGTCGGTGTGCTTTTTGGTATGTGAATTTTTGTTTTAGAAGCAAAAAGGAAAAAATAAACAAAATGTAAGAAATCTTTAGATTTTTACAATTTTATAAATGAATAAAATTAGAGAAAAGAAGGTTTTTTTAATATGGTAAAAAAATAAAGTCACAAAATGAAAATTATTCATGATTTTGTGAAATCATAAATAATGAAAACGTAATCGCTCAAAAACAATAAAATAGACATCGTCATTGTCTAGAACCAGAGGTGCTTCTGCGTGAATGGATGACATCACATGCAAAGGGCCAGTAATCTTCTGCTCTGCACGGCGCATCTCTCAATACAGCCGTGTGGTGAAAAGGTAAACGATACGAAATATGAGTCACCAGGCAGCTTTTTAATAAATTTATATCATTAACGTGTTTCCTATTCATGTGTTTGCTTACGAAAGGATGGTTTTTGGGCAGATAAAATGCGTTTTAACTGGGTTTGTATGTACACATCGCAGATGAACGCTTAGAATCAAAAATAGGAAGGCTGGAGCACTCGGGTGAGTCCAAGTTTAAAAGGTGCGGGTACAAAAACGTTGTGACTCTTGATGTGTCTATGTCAGAGTTGCATCTGGAAAACAAGGCAATTTCATTATATGCAGATGAATTCTACCTTCAGGAATTTTCCTATTTAACTAGAGCTCCCAAGTGGGAGGAGTCAGAGTCCTAATAATTAGAGTATCCATGTACATCAGAGATCGGCTCTAAGGCCTAGTCCACACGTAGCCGGGTTTTTAAAAATGAATATCCGCCCCTCCAAAAACTTGCATCCACACCACTGCGTTTTAATAAAAAAAAACTCTGTCCACACGTACCCGGATAAATACGTTGTTAAGGACATGCCAGACCTGTAGGCGGCAGTACTTCCCCCGTTCTTAACCTCGTCCTTCGTCTGTGGTCTTCCGCAAGGAGCAGTAATTCCTCTTGCAAAAACAAACAAGAAGAAAGCGCTTGGACAATTGATAAAGCGAGCGCAGCTCTGAGGGCATCCATGCTGTCGGCTAGTGTAAACACAGGTCGCACACGTGATGTCAGCATTTTTTGTCGCGGAAAGTGACGTTGCGGACCTTAAAACTCCGGTTTTGTCCGTCCACACGCAGACACCCAAAACGGAGAAAGCGCAGATCTTCACTTTGGCCGGAGTTTTTAAAAAGATCCGTTTTCGTGTGAAAAAACAACGTTTTCGTGTGAAAAAACTCCGTTTTCGTGTGGATGACAGGCCAAAACGTAGAAAAATATCTACGTTTTGGCAGATCCCCGGCTACGTGTGGACATGGCCTTAATCTGCCAGACAGTCTGGGAGAATTGCAGAAGGACCATTCCAGGGAGAACAGATCAGAGGAAAAACTATTTCCTCCTGATTTAACCCAGGTTTCAGTCGGCAGGAGAACATCTCATCAGACAAAAGCTTTTATTTTGAAGGGAGCACATGTTTACCAGGGAAAAATGTGGATGCTTTGGTTCACGCTGATGCAGACCACTGGCGATCCGATGAAGATTGCACTGTCAATAATATTTTACATAGCGCAGATTTAAGGCCCGTGGCGGCATTCCTCAGGTATACTACAAAATGTATAACTATGGAGAGATTTCCGCCACGGATTACCAGCCTAAGGGGAACAACATCAACGTTTGAGAAGAAGCACATCGCCTCTGTATCGTGTGGAGAAGTGCGTCGTCGGCAAGCTCTAACATTTATTTTCCACTAAGGGACAACAGCGGGCATCTTTCAGTGTTTTTTCTTAAATCTCCTGTTTATTTGTTACAACAGAACATAAAGTAATGAATCCCCTCACGGCCACCAGGGCGTCCGATTCAGATAACAAGACTTTGTTTGGGTCAGGCTGAGGTAATTTTCCTCTCTGCCTTCAGCCTTTAAACTGCTCATTCCAGTCCTTCAGATAAGCCAATTATTGGTTTTTAAACCTGTCCGAACCGTCCGGTGACTCTCCGAGATGACATCCGTTTTGCGCACTAATACCGGTATCGCAGCTAGAACATTGTCCAGCTTACGATTCACCTCAAGTGTAGTTAGATAACCACTGGACTAGAGCAATAACATCTTTATTGGTATCCCATCCAAAACTCACCAGACTTCAACACGTCTCCTAAACCAACACCCACTCCTGTGACCACATCACTCTTGTCTCTTCATGATCTCCAGCTTTATAAATGCAGTTCAGCTGGGTTATTACTGCTGTTACCGACATGAAGTGAAGCATTAATAAAGGCTATTTTTATACATATATTTGAAGTTTGTGCCTTGACTGTTTGCACTGTAGCTTTGCTCTGTTTTTGCTTTGAGATTTTTGAAATAAAGTATAATATAAACAAATATAATAAAATGATATAAACAATAAGAACAAAACCTTTAAGTAGATTGTTATCCTCTATTAAAATTTCAAAATATAGTTTTCAACAAAAGTATCGTTGAGGTACCACCATCAAAAACCAGGTATTGTTAGAGTAGTAATATCTACTGGTACCCCAGCCCTACCGGCGCTGTTATATTTTATACATTTGTTTTATGTTACCCAGCTGTCCTTTCAGTGAAAGCTCAGCTCTGCTACTGTTCTCTACCAGGTGTTTTGGCAAAATATAATAAAAAAGAGAGATAAATAAGTAAATTAGCACAAGTTCAAGTTTTTTTTTGTTTTTTTGCCGGTAGGGCTGTGAAATAGTTAATAATTTTATACGTGGTCTTGAAAAGGTCTTTAAGAGTCTTGAATTTAACTTGATGAAAACTGTAGGAACCCTGCTCCAGGACCAGGACTATGTGTGGGCGTCGGACGAGCCCCCGCACCGTGAGAACAAACATCCCAGCTCTAAGGCCGATCTTCATCCGCGTACGTCACACGTCACATGGTCAGGAAGCAGAACATCCATGTGTTAGGAGATCGTTTTGGGCCGCTGCTGTAAAAAAAAAAAAAAAGTGAGGCAGGCTCTATATCAAATACAGGTCATTTACCATTTTTACTATTTTACATGTTAGTAAACAAGAATCAAATGCTTCTAAACAATAGGTACATGTTAACAAATGAGAATGAGAATTACGTGCGACAAAACAAAAGTTACATGTCCTCCCAATAACGGTCACTTTTGTGGTTTTCAGTTGAAAATGAAAACAAGGAATGAAGTTTTCTCACTTGTTAGGGATTTGATCAATCACCTAATGCCTGCAAAGAACATCAGCCCTTCGAGTTTATTTATAACATGAGATAAAACGGAACAGAAGGTGTGTGTGTGGAAATGAACGCGTGTGTGCCTGAATGGCTACAGGAATGGGTGTGTGTGCCTGAATGGCTACAGGAATGGGTGTGTGTGTCTGAATGGCTACAGGAATGGGTGTGTGTGTGTCTGAATGAATGAGAATGCAGTTAATGGGATTCATGGTCAAGAAATAACAAAACATAAGATTCTCTCATCTTTGAGTTTCTAATGATGTTTTTGTTTCCTTCGTTCCTATTCTCTTCAGGCTTGGCAACATTTTTCCACAATGGCGTTTATCTGAGGAAGGATGCTCTTTGGGCCTGCATACGCCGAGTTCGGCAAATCCTCTACTGGTTTTATTCCCAGCGCCAGCTGGTCTTCTATGCCAGCTCTCTTCTCTTTGTCTACGAGGGTCTCCCCTTCTCTCCGCCCTCTTTGTTCCTCAGAAATCCATCAGTCATTGAAGCGGTGACCAACACTGGTGAACTGTGGCTGGTGGCTGACAGCGGTCAGGGCCACGAGGAGAAAACTGTCCGGGAGGGGGCGCGGCAGGAGCAGGAAGTGGCGGAGAACAACAACAACAACAGAGAGGAGGCAGTGTCCTGGGACTGCACCGTTCACATCGGTCGGAGAAAGGGTGCTCACCACCACAATGGGCGTGGCCACGCCCTAAAGCACGGCGTGGCTGCTCCAATCGTGGTGGCCACAGCCACGGGGGACCGTAAGTCAGTGCTGAGTGAAGAAGACAACACGACTCAACAAACAGGTGATCAGAAACCGTCACCCAACAGAAACAAAGCATCACCAAAAGGCCCGGATTCACACCGAGAGAGGGAGAAGAGCAGCGGGGAGGAAGAGGAGGGATGGAAAGGACCGATGCGTGGATGCGAAGGTGGAAGACAGGAGAACATGGAGGAGGTGGAAGTCAAGATGATTGATTTTGCTCACGTTTTCCCAAGTGATAGCCAGGATCACGGCTACATCTATGGCCTGAAACACCTGCTGACGGTGCTGGAACAGATACTTTGTGATGCCGCTCAGAGTTCACACCCCCGTCTGCTGACTCAGCAAGGAAACCGCACACCACCCTGAACCTCCATGATGTCGAAGCTCCCAGCAGCCTCTGTCCATCAGACCCCCGTTTACACTGGTGCTGATGAGCGGGTATGACCACTGGTATTACTGAATAACTCTGTGTTAGGCTTTAATGAGAAGAATGGTAACACACACACACACACACACACACCGTTCAGGCTTCTCACTGGAAGGTTCTGTTCGGGTTCTGCTGGCTCACCATCAGACCTGGAAAACAAACAACTGACTACCTTTTTAGTTCAACACCTTTCTGCTTTTTTAATCCAATCAACAAACTCCGAGTTGTGAGTCCTAACGCTACTGCTCGTCACTTTAAGAGGATGTTGTGAAGAATGATTTCTGAAAGAACGAAGCGATGCTGCTGCCGCTGCCGCTGCCGCTGCTGCTGCTGCTGCCGCTGCTGCTGCTGCTGCTGCTGCTGCTGCTGCTGCTGCTGCTGCTGCTGCTGCACCGGACCTTCTTCTGCAGGGCTAAACAGATCTAGTAGTTTTTATTGTCTACAGTCATTTTAGGAATCTTACTACTGTGCTGTACAGGAAAATCTACATGTCTGCTTCTTTATTTTGTTCTCACTTTTCCAGTCGATCACATTGGAAGTGGATTTGATTGGCCTGTTCTTGCGGTCCCGGTGCAGGGTCGCGGTTCTGAGTTGAGGGAAATTGCTTGTTTAACCCCTGATGAGGGGTTTGTAACTCAGTTATTTACTGTAAATGTCCAGATCTATATATTTGTACTAAACGACAGATCTTTTGCAGAATAGTTGATTTTTTGTTCCTCTGTAGACCAAAACGGACCAGGACACACCTGGCTGGACAGGAAACTGGGGCAGAGCTGCATTTGTGAGTGGACTTGTCTCAGACTGAGAAGGTCGTCTACAGTGCCACCGACTAAACATGATTTTCTCTGTGATGAATCCGTCTCGGGACCAAATCCTGGAAAGACAGCCCTGCTGTGAGCAGTGGAGAGCGGCCATGGTCCAGATGTGGGGATAAAGGGAGGGTTTTTATCCTGGTGTCGGTGTTTTAGGCTCCTTAGCAGATGTATGGGACCTCGTGTCACTCATCTGTTGTGACCTCCGGCTGAAGCTTCTTTAGTCTTTACAGGAAGTACCATGTTGTTGGGTTGGGTTGGTGTCCTGCTCCGCGGTTTGAAGGAGTGTTTTATTGCTGATGTCTGGTTCTTTCCTAAAACCAGTCGAACTGGACAGTAACTAAGACTGGAAGTGCACTAACGGTGATCTCGCTGGTGGCTGAGATGTAGGTGATGGCGCTGATGGGGTCGCTGAAGTGATTTCTCACGTTTTTACAAGAAGGAATGTTTTGTTTTATACAATCTGCTCTAAATAGTCAGCAGATGTTTTATGACTTGATTATATGAAAAGGCTAGAAAACTAATTACTGGTGGATGTGTGGAGCTTTTATGTAATTAAAGACTTTTGATGAATAATCCAAAAGATATTTTTATAGATGATGTGTTTTATTTTTTGACTTGAATGAGTTTACAGTGATGTACAGGTTCATCAAAAGTTCTGCTGGTGTACCGTGGGCTGACCCGTGGGCTGACCCGTGGGCTGGCTCAAACGTCAGCGAGGCTGCTGTGGTCTCATCTCTTAAGCATGTGAAGCTGATGGTCCTCTGCCCAAGCCTCGCATCCTGGTCTTCACCAGTCATGACCAGAACCTCTAATAAGGTTCACCTGTTGTCGTATCCGTTCTGCCTTGTACTCAGAAACATTAAAGTTCTGGTGACGTCAGCACGGCGGGACTTGAACTACTCGGAGTCCATGATGAAACATCAGAGAACCTGATAGGAACCTGACTTCACGTATTTACCAGATTTGATGAGTGGGCTTGTTTTTATTCCCTGAATGATCTTCATACGTTTAAGTGTTCAGGTTCTGCTGGGTCTCAACACTGGACTCGGACTCGTTCCACAGTCCTTCATTTAAAACCTGGATCTAATCTCGTGTCGATCAGAAGACAGGTTGGAATATAATTTGACAATTCTATTTTGTAATAAACTTTATTGAATATATATATATCTGTTCTAATTTAAACCAAATGAGAATAAAATCTCTTGTTTTCCCTAACAATTCTATTTTTAATAAACTTTTTTAAATTCAAAGGAAGTTTGTTTATTCGTTCTTTTATGTCTGAAAGGTGTGGTTCACTGAAAAAACACGTAGCTTTAGCTTCTGATGGAGAAACTCTAGGATTAGACGAGCCTGGCAGATCTACGTCCCACTGACTCGTAACATCCATGGACTCGCCCATCTTGGCTCACGACGGGGAAGGCTGTTGTTGGTTTAGAGTCCAGGAAACGATGAGCCTGAAGCTACCATGCCTTCTCCTCCAGCTGACTTGTTCTTCCTGAAACTGATGCATCTGAGGTGCTATGTGGCTAGGAGTCTGCCTGCATCCCACCAGCTGGATGGATTTTAATATTGGACCATTTGTCCTGTGTACAATGGAGACACCTTACAATTCAAAACATTCATTAAAGCATCTGAACAAGGTGTGGAATCAAAAATAGAAAATCAAGATGACCGTCTGCACTATCTTGAGCAATTCACTTCAGGCCAGCCAAAAGAGCTAGTCAGGAGTTACCGTCAGAAAGAAAATACAGTAAAGCCAAGGAACTTCTCAAGGAGCATTTTGGAAATGAATCAAAGATATCTGCTGCTTATGTGGACAAGATAAACGCATGGCCTGCTATCAAACCTGAGGATGTTTCTGCTTAAACCCTATTTCTGCACAGTTGTTGCAATGCGATGGAGGAACTAAGCTGTTTGGATGAACTCAACATGCCGGCTAACATGAAAACCATGTACAAAGGCTTCCACACAAACTCAGAGAAAAATGGAGACGTGACATTCGTGAAGACAAGCAGCGTCGAGCTGAGTTCAAAGACATTGTTCACGTTCTTAAGCATCAAGTTAAAGCAATGTCCGATCCTGTTTTTGGTGACATCCAAGACATAAAAAGTAAAGAGCGGTCCCAACCTACAGCTCAGCTGAGAAGCAGCTTTGCAACCACTGTTCTTAATTCTGCTAGACCCCCAATTAAAACAAGAACACTCAAACTCGAGCACCAGTACGTGCACTTTTATCTTTGAAGTGTGCACGACAGCACACACTAGAGGAGTGCCCAAAGATGAAAGGGCTGATGCAAAAGGAAAAGCTAAACTTCTTAAGGAACAATGGAGTTTGTTTTTGCTGCCTACGTGTTGGACACGTCAGTAAGGACTGTAAAAATCACACATTATGTCAAATATGCAACCAAATGCATCCAAGCATTCTTCATACTAACCGGACAGAAGATACAAATGAGCACAAGAAAGAAGGGGTTATCTCTGCATGCAGCCAAACGGGCCGGAGCTAATCCTGGGTTTCTTCCAATCTTGCCTGTAAAAATCAAAAGTGCAAAAGGAGGTAAAACGATTCAAACCTATGCATGTCTTGATGCCGGAAGTACAGACAGATTTTGTTCTGAAACTTTAATGGATGAGCTAAATATCACGGGACAAAGGACAAAGGTTCATTTACACACTATGGGTCAAACCAGAACAGTGCCAAGCTACATTGTAAAAGACCTAGAAGTCTCTGGACTCCTGGAAAATCAGTTCTTTCAACTTCCAAGCGTGTACACTCAAAAAACGATGCCAGTGTCAGGCAACTATATATCTCCTGAGAAGGCCATTGCAAAGTTACCGCACTTCAAACACATAAAAATACCTCCCATCGATGCCAGTGTTGATTTGTTACTTGGAACAAATGCCTCCAGGTTAATGGAGCCATGGGAGGTGATAAACAGCAGCGGTGAAGGTCCATCTGCAATAAGAACCCTACTGGGATGGGTTATCAATGGAACTTTAGACAGTGTAACAGTGACAACACTGAAGTACATCAGTTAGGTCACTGGAGGAAATTTTAATGAATCAAAACAGACACGACTTCAATGAAAGTTTCTCTAATGAAAAGGAGGAAAAGTCTGAGGTTTATGACCATCATGGAAAAATCTATTCATTTGGATGATGGACGTTACAAACTGCACCTACCTTTCAAAAATGAAAATCCGAACCTGCCCAAAAACCTCACGATGGCAAACCAACGCATGAAATTTCTTTGTAAACGATTCCAAAGAGACAAAGCTTTCCAGGAAGAATACACAAACTTCCTGTCTGACGTCATAGCAACGGGCTATGCAGAAAGGGTACCTGAACATCAGCTGAAAGGATGTGATGGATAGGTTTGGTACTTATCTCATCATGGAGTTTTTCATCCACGAAAGAAAACACTACGAGTTGTGTTTGATTGTAGTGCTGAGTTTAAAGGAGTTTCTCTTAACAAGGACCAAATTTGACAAGCACTTTATTAGGAGTTCTAACCAGATTCAGACAGGAACCAATCGCTATAATGGCAGATATTCAAGAATGTTTCATCAAGTTAAGGTGGCAGATGACCATTTGGACTTTTTAAGATTTTTGTGGTGGCCAGATGGAGATGTAAACCAGGAACCAGTACCCTACTGTATGACTGTTCATTTATTTGGTGCTGTCTCTTCTCCAAGCTGTGCCTGTTACGCATTGAGAAAGATTGCTGAAGATAATCAGCAGAACTTTTCAGCTGAGGTGACAGAAACTGTCAAAAGCAACTTTTACATGGACGATCTCTTAGAAGGTGTACCCAAAGAAGAAGATGGTGTCTTCATGATAACCAACCTGTCAGATATCTGCAGATTAGGAGGGTTTAACCTCACAAGATGGATAAGCAATAGACGCAATGTTCTTCAACATGTTCCAGAAGAACAAAAATCCAAAGCGATTAAAGACTTGAATCTAGACAGAGAGAAGTTGCCAGTTGAACGGGTTCTTGGACTGCATTGGTGTGTTGAATCCGACACCTTTCACCCTGCTGGCTAAGCTAATGATCCAAGACCTATGTCGGATTAAAAGTGGTTGGGATGATCCCATACCCAAGACGTTTGAGTACAGATGGAAATGCTGGCTGGAAGATCTTAAAGGAACAAAAAACTTTACAGTAAACAGTTTTAACCCTGAAGATTTTGGTCCAATAACTTCAGCTCAGATGCATCATTGTGTTGATGCCAGCGAGAAAGCCTATGGCACAGTCACAGATTTGAGGTTCAAAAATGACACAAACAGGATACATTCTGCCTTCTTGCTTGGAAAATCTCGAGTGTCCCTCTGAAACCAGTTACAATCCCACGTCTCGATCTGTCTGCTGTGGTTCTTGCTGTCAAAGTGGATAAACAACTAAACATTGAAACCGATCCAGAGCTCAAAAGAAATGTGGCAGTAAATGCAGTCACTGTGGAACCCTCTGCTACAAACAAACTGATAACGCACTACTCTGGTTGGAAAAGGCTAAAAACAGCCGTTGCCTGGATTCTCAGATTAAAGGAACTTCTCTTGAACCTCTGCAAGAAAAGGAAGGAGCTGTGCTTGGCAAATGTCAGGCCTTGTCTCATACCGATGGAGATGCAGAGCCAAAGCATCTTTACAGCAAGAAGTGTTAAATGCAGATGATATTTGTAAAGCAGAGAGAGAAATCATTCGTTTCTGTCAGTGGGAAAGGTTTCAAGATGAGGTAACTACGCTGACATCTGGTCATTCACATGTGAAGAAAACCAGTGTGATTTACAAGCTTGACCAAGGGAGTACCTGCCATTGCTGCAAGAAAGGCAAAAATGGAATAAGGAAAGGAAGGGTTTCTCACCTGGTGACATTGTGGTGGTGGTGGATCCCACAGCACCACGAGGATCCTGGGTTCTAGGAAAAGTGCTCGAAGTATATCCTGACAAGAAAGGACTTGTGAGGTCGGTGCGACTTCGAGCAAAAACAAGTGAAGTAGAAAGACCGGTGACAAAACTTTGCCGCCTTTGTGGAGGAAATGCAAGTTATGGTTAGGTCTGGTGATGAGCATAAAGCGTAAGACAATCCTCTGTTTTCGTGTGTTTTTATTTTGTTTGTTTTGTTTTTGTTATGGGTTTGCTGTTGTCTTGTACTGGAAGAATGGCTCCTTTTCTTTGTGCGCCCAAGAACAATTAGGGGCCGGTGTGTGAGAGCCGTTTTAACTGAAGGTGTAGTTATTGGTTTTGACACTAGATGGAGGCAACCCCACTGATCTTTTGAACAAGTCACTGTCTCCACCTCTATTTAATCATGGTGCAAACTGGGCACAGGTGTGTTGGATGGAGACAGGGGCAAACCGTTTTGGACCGTGCTGAAGCAGGTTAGATTATGTTGGAGCTCACAGAAAGAATTGATTGACTACGGGAACAAACGTCAGATGGAGCTGTAAGAAAATAAAAGAACAACATTTTATTTCACCCCACGCGTCAACTGGTCTGTGCTCTTCCATCACCTGTGGTGGATGGGTTTCGTTTGGAGAAACTTTGGCCCCACACCAATTGAGTCCATGGTTGATGCACATGTGTGTTTAGTAATTTGGTGCTGAGTCAGGTAGCAGCATGTCTAAGGCCTAGTCCACACGTAGCCGGGGCTTTTTAAAAACGAATATCCGCCCCTCCAAAAACTTGCATCCACACCACCTCATTTAAAAACAAACTCTGTCCACACGTACCCGGATAAATACGTTGTTAAGGACATGCCAGACCTGTAGGGGGCAGTACTTCCCCCGTTCTTAACCTCGTCCTTCGTCTGTGGTCTTCCGCAAGGAGCAGTAATTCCGCTTGCAAAAACAAACAAGCAGAAAGCGCTTGGACAATTGATAAAGCGAGCGCAGCTCTGAGGGCATCCATGCTGTCGGCTAGTGTAAACACAGGTCGCACACGTGATGTCAGCATTTTTTGTCGCGGAAGGTGACGTTGCGGACCTTAAAACTCTGGTTTTGTCCGTCCACACGCAGACACCCAAAACGGAGAAAACGCAGATCTTCACTTTGGCCGGAGTTTTTAAAAAGATAAGTTTTCGTCTGAAAAAACTCAGTTTTCGTGTGGATGACAGGCCAAAACGTAGAAAAATATCTACGTTTTGTCAGATCCCCGGCTACGTGTGGACAGGGCCTAGGACAGCAGTGGACATGAGAGACTTCTTCTGAAGTGGAAGTCAGAGGAACTTGCTCCCCTTCAAAGCCTCTGGAG